AATCATCACTGAAATCTCAAATCATATCTTCAATTAGATGATTTTATAGATTATATCTGAATTATATAGCAACTGGACGTTCAAATGTTGAAATCAACATTTGAACGCGCTAAATCTTGCATTTTTTTCTGACACAGAACATTCAAATGTTGATTTTAACATTCAAAGGCGCTCTTAATCAGCCATGTCCTTCTCTCAGCGCGTTTGAATGTTGACAGTGACGTTAAAGCGCTGAGCAGTGCATTTTTCTTCTGTTACATGGCGTTTTAATGTTGGAATTAACATTTGAACGCACTCCTTGGCTATGATTTCTTTCATGCTAGCGCATTCAAATGTTGACTAGAGCGTTTAAATGTTGGAGGGCATTTAAATGTTGTCTAGAGCATTTGAATGTTCTCCTCCGGTTCTTCATATTTTCTCAGTAGTTAGCACATTTTAACGTGCTAAACAACATTTGAACGTGTTTCATCACCACTGTAGATTCAACTTCTTGGATGAACAATTATCTTCCAATTCCAATTTCAATCTTTAAATCCATTCTTGCTCAAATTTGTATTAATTTGCCTTCAAAACCAATAAGAACAAGATATGTTAGATAGAAATCTAATTGTTATTAAAAAAAAAATCTAATTTCCATAATTTTCAATATAAAACCTAAGTATTCATGCTCTTGACTATATAATTCATGCAATATTAGTCCTATAAACATGATAAACTAGAGGTTTATCAATGGTTCAACTATTCCAATCATAAAAGATGTAAAACCTATGTTTTTTGTCTTATGATATTTAGATTTTGAAACAAGTTGTAAACAAAAGACCAAATCAAATGGAAAGCCTAATGGAAGATTGTAACTATGTTTGCTAAGTGATAAGTGTCCAAGACACTATGTTTTTATGGTTAAAAAGAGTTCAAATAACTATTAAAATAATTAAAAATATAGTGTTAAAACAATAAAACAGTAAAACAAAATGAATTGTCAACAAATAGAAGATTTTGAATATTTGTTGTTGTTTCAGGTTGTTGAAACTAGAATAACAAAGTGCCAATATGATAAAGACGAGACAACAGTGGAATCCGCGGAGCAATAGGAAAATCAGAAATCAAATAATAAATAAAATAAAAATTGTAACGTTCGCTCCACTGCTCGCTAAAGCGAGCAAGTGGGCGAGCAGCTCGCAAAGTTCCTCGCTATAGCGAGAAAGTGGGCGAGCAACTCGCAAAGTTCCTCGCTATAGCGAGAAAGTGGGCGAGCAACTCGCAAACCAGCAAAAAGTGCTCGCTGAGCAGCTCGCTTAAGCGAGCTCCTCAGCGAGCGGGTCCAAATTTCAGAAGCCCAAATTTCACCCTTTAAATACAACGAGAAGGAAGCCGTGAAAAAAATTCTGGAACGCAAAGGAAGAGTCAGAGACCGAGACGAATCAAAAGAAGGAGCGGAAGAAAACACTGGATCGTTGCAGAGGAGAAGGAATGAAGCACTTCTGCATCATTGATCATCACTTTTAGACAAGTTTATCATGAACTCGGTTTCTTTTATTGTTTATGTCAATTCTGCCTTTATAATTATGAGTAGCTAAATTATTTTAGTAGTTAGGAAGATACAGAACCAATGGGTTCTTAGTTGATGTTTGTTTATTCTTATGAACTACATTCTTGTTTCTAAATTATGCAATCAATCTAATAGTTATGCTTAGTTTTATTTATGACTTGATCACTCGTAGATAAACATATGAGTCATATATGACAATAGGGATGTTGGTATGTGATTCTGATTGGTTGATTGCTGGAATTTGCATGATCTAGGGATAGACTTGTGAATTTTATAACTGTGAGTTCTTGTGTTAATGCTTATTTTATGAAAAAGTACTAAGGGATTAGGCTTTGGATTAGAATAAAGAATTAAATTATCAAGGGATTGAGATTTAGTCAATTATAAAAAGAGCTGTTAATAATTTAATCTTAAATGTAATCGTAAGAATAGGCAAACTCATTAAGAAACCATTGGGAAAGTTGAATTCTAACTAGGCCTTTTTATTAAAAATCTTAACTCAATTTCTAGTATTCTAAATTCTGAATTTAATTTCTAAAATATTAAAAATCAAAAATAGTTTTACAAATTCTTCTTTTAATTAAATCACAATATTCTCAAAAAATCTTTAATGATCGATCCAATTTTAATTAAATAAATATATTATTGTTTGGTCATCAATCCTCGTGGGATCGACAACTTTCTTATCACTTTATTACTTGTACGACCGGTACACTTGCCGAGTTCGTCAACACTAAGATCCACATTATCTTAATTTGTCCTTTATGTTTCCCGGTTGTTCAACTATTCCAGTCACAAAACGATGTAAAACCTATGCTTTTTATCTTATAATTATAATTTTTAGATTTCGTACCTCACGGGGACATGTGAAACAAGCCCAATCCATAGAAATAGAAATTGCATATGCTAAATTTTACACGTTCTTTCGTTGTAAGTTTTTCTGGAGGAGATAAAGATAAAAATACCTTGAGTGCTCCTAGGTAATATTTTTTGAAAAATTAAGTCTGTATTTTGTGGTGCTATTAGTATTAAGTGTTGGAGATAGCGACAAGTATGGTATATAGGAGAAAAATGAGAATTTTTGGTGAAAATGTCCCAAGGACTTTATGTAAAAACGGCATAATTAGATTACCTAGTATAATAATTTATACACTTTAAAAAAAGGGTTTAATGTGTGTACTTTCAAATGATATAATTTATGTTTTTTACCTTTCATGACTATGTATTTCGGAGAGTATATAGTTGTAATATAAAAGTTATTTTTTTCTCTCTCCACGTGATAAGTACTTGAAAAATTTCTAAAGAAAAAAAAATCAATTTTAATATAACTATATATTTTCCAAAGTACATAATTATATGGTGATAAAAGGATATAAGTTTATATCTTTTAAAAGAATAAATAATTTTCGCTTAAAAAAATTAAATAGACCTTTTTCATTGGGCCATATAATCAAGGCAATCTTTGGAATGCAGAGATTAAAAGTTTAAAACCATGACTGTTCAAGTGGCCACGTTTAAAGGAGCATTTGGTATGAGAGATATTTTTTTTAACCGAGAAAAAAAGATTGTTAGAGATTTGGTAGAATTTTTTTATTCAGGATAAGTTACAAAAAAGTGTTTGGTTGACCAAAATTTTGCAGGAAAAGTTGGGTTAATTTTACTGATGCTATGTTTGGTTGATGGTAAAATATTGATGAGAATGTGAATGAAATTATCAAAATACCCTTGATTTTTTTAATATGCCATCATCGAATGTAGCTTTTTTTAGGAAAAAGTGAATCAAATGTACCTGTTGAGAATCCAAAATCAAGGGGGGAAAAATACCAAACATTAAGTGGGACAAAAATTTATCTTTGTGTAGTTCAAAAAATAAATACTGGGTAAAAAAATTTGCTAGCATTTTGTTCACAATACTCATACCAAATATGGTAAATAAATATTCTTCACCTGACTTTTTCATCATTCCATACCAAATACTCATACCAAACATCCCCTGGGGTGTTAGGCAGAGGAGAAATTTTTTTTTAGCCGAGAATCTCAATTTTCAAAAATATGATTTTTACATTTAGTTTATGATAATATCCGTAAATTTAAAATTTAGAAAAATTCAGTTTCCCGAAATTCTTAAAGAATCCCGCGTACCAAACACCTTAGGGGCCGTTTGGTAGATAGTTTTTATCAAGATTCCTGGGAAACTGATTTTTTCTAAATTTTAAATTTTCAGATATTATCGTAAACTGAATGTAAAAATCATATTTCTGAAAATCGAGATTCTCGGATAAAAAAAAAAAAAATTCCTCTACCAAACGTCCCGTAAGTGTGTAACAGTTATAATTGGAGACATGAGATTTGTCTCACGTGAACGTGGAAGAATCGTCCTTCAACACTTGCTCCAAATTAAGTAGCGAGTTTGTATGTGAAATGAAATAATAAGAGTTTTATGCCAACAATCTATTGCGGGGTGTCCTCTCTGTTTCATTGCTTTATTGCCCTCCCTACTTGCTCATAGTCACAAGAAGCAAATGTAAAGAGCTCTGTTTTACTTACCAAAAAAAAGAGCTCTGTTTTGAGCACAAACCAAACTAAAGTTGTTTGTCAAACGAAATAACATAAACTAAGCACATATAGAAAAGTTAAATACATGTAGAACATTACCCTATCGAGATAAACAAATTAAATTATGTGAACCACGCAACATCTGTCCAAACTTAAAAGAACTTAGCCCTTAAGATATTCTATTCTCTTCAATTTAATCTTTAAAACATTTAAACGTTCAAAATAATCATCCGCGTATAACCAAATTGGAAATCTTGCCCAAAAAAAAAAAAAAAGATATGTATAAATCATTTGGTTTAGGGATCGACTGTATCTTATTTTTAAATATTATGATCATTTTCATACAAATTAGTAAGGCAAAATTATTTTTGTTGCTGACACATATTTTTTTAGGATACGACGTCGAATTTTAATTTTTAAAAAATAATAATAATAGGTCTCGTTTGATCTCTATGTTTGCCTTCTTAACCCAATTAGTAAATTAGTGAGCTATGAATGTTAAAAAAAAAAAAAAAAAAAAAATTAGTGAGGTATGTCAAATCACATGGAGGAATATTAACGAGACTTCGAATATATCTTTTTTAGGCTTTACCACCGCAATGTCCTAACTCCTACCCTATCTATGACTCGTCTGAGTGGAAACAAAGAGGTCAACGCTTTCCCTTGATGACGTCATCGTCCACGTCATTTCCAGCTCGCGTTCAATATATATTTTTTAAATAAATAATAATATTACTTTATTGGACTTTTTGGCTTTTGCAGTGTGAATTTCATGATTCATAAATGTTTTAAAAGCTTGACAGTGGCAGTGTACCCTTCATTCATTATTCTTCTTCTTCTTCATCCAACTAGTTATTACTAACTGCTTCCATTCAACACCACTACCACCGACACCATGTATGCACACACCAACACCCCATTCTCACGCGCCGCCACAGCATCACCCCTTCCCTCCTCGCCTTCCCCATCAATGCACAACCTCTTCTCCGAACTCAGCGAGTTCGACTCGCTGCACGAGACTCTCCCCCAACTCAACAACTCGGAGGTGAGTTACAATAATAACAACAGCTGTAGCAGTGGTTATAGCAGCTATACTGGGTCACCAACTTCTCTGGTTAGTCCCACCTTTATGCAGAGGAGCGTTAGCAGCCATTCCCTTCACAGGAATGGGACCCACCACCCTCTTTCTGCTCTGTTCTCTGAGTTGTTCGACTCGGAGGACTCTCCGGTGAGGAAAGTGTACAGTACCAGTGATCTTCAGGTACACCTTTATTCATTTTTGTACATTCATAGTCTCATACTTTACTCAGAACTAGTGAAATGATCTTGTTCAAATTATTAGTATATGATTTGTTTATGTGTCTAGTTAAATATTACACGATATTTTTCTTACAATATCTAATTATGTTTATAAGAATAAAGTTTCATTTGTTGCGGAGTGAAATTCTGTTTTATAGACTAACAAGTTTAGAATAGTGTTGTAGAGAATGACATGATAAGTGTGTGTATTAGCAAGATCCAAACGTGCCACCAACCACGGATTTGATGGTTGATTAATGTATCAGCTCAAACATACGCGCGAAGAATCAGTAACTTTATAAGATATAGGTATCAGTGTTTAGTGGAGTAATTTTCGTGAGGCAGAGGATAAGAGATAAGCTACTAGAGTGTGTAATTTGGGCACATGGCGTTCCATACTTTGTCTGTGCTTATGACGTATTTTTTATAGTTGCTGATTCAACAAACCATGATAAATCCCATTAATGCCATAATACCAAGACTAGGTTGTCGTGCTGTGTATTATTGTTAGAATCATCATTTTAGTTGATAAAATGTTATGTATTTAATGCTTGAGTATGACTTAGGTTACTGTTTTGTCTTATATTAATAAATAAAACATAGTGTGAATGGAATCAGGGAATTTTTGTAAGTAGTGTGACGCATCATATCACATGTTCAATTAATTTGATAGGTGAGATTACGACATTAATCACTTTATTAAATACATTCGTTAGCATAAATTTGAGCCAAAGTAATTTGGGAGAATTTTTCTGTTTTTGTCTACTTCCATTTTTGTTTCACACACATAAAAATGCATAAGGGTTAATTTTTCTTTTTCTATCTCTTCTCCTCACATGATCTTACTCACATATTTATATACATGTAAAGACATAATTTATCCTCTAAAATGTGAAAAAATTTAATTTTTTTTTTTTTTTGTAATCTGCATTAATTAATTAATATTGTTGTTGTTGTAACATGCAACATTTGTACAGAGGATTAATGGAATACAGCGTAATCATTACTCGGATAGTCCATTGTCAAGCGAAAGCAGTATGATCATAGAAGGGATGAACAGAGCCTGCCGATATAGCCCGGAGGAGAAGAAGGTGAGAATTGAGAGATATAGAAGCAAGAGGAACCAGAGGAACTTCAACAAGAAAATTAAGGTTCAGCCTTTTTAAATATATTATTTTTATTATATTTACTTTTAGTAGCTTTCTATGTTTTACTTTTGTGAATGAAAACCCTGGGCTGCACAACTTAAACTTTTTAAACACTGAAATTTGTATTTCATCAAAATTTGACGATATATTATCCTTTTGCATTGGGAAAAAAAGAAAAAACTAAGCCTTGGACGAATTTGAAGGAACCATGCCACAAGTCTACAAATATAATGGATGACACTGTGCTAAGACTTAAGAGGAAAACCACTATCAGGCTTCCTTTTTGAAACTTGCTTCATGAAATTATCATTAAAGTCATATCAAAGGTCTAATTAAGATTTAAGGGATATAGCAAAAAGATAATCTATTTAATAAAATCCTGGTTTAAAAAAAAAAAAAAAAAAGTGAGTCATTTTCAATATATTAGGACAAGAATTTGCTCCCCATGTTCATTGCTTGATAGTCCCCTGCTGCCAGCACAAAAGATTATACATAATTGTGCTTTTAGGTATATTCTAGTGTATTGCAATAGGTCCAGAATTTTGTTTAGTATGAAAATCTTCTCACGGATTTGTCTTATTCTTTAAGATTACCAGTAATCCCATTACTGTGAAGATCTTGGAGAAAAGGATAAATCAGGCATGTTATTAACCATATACCATTTATATTACTCTCCAACTAACACTATTCTGTTTATTGTCTCTAATGGTCCACCAATATATATACTATTTAATTATGAAAAAATTACTGTAAAAATATTAACTTATTTTTTTCTGGGAATCAGTATGCATGTAGGAAGACATTGGCAGACAGCAGGCCACGCATCAGAGGAAGGTTTGCTAGGAATGACGAAATTGACAAGAACCCTCCAATTCAGTGGAGCCACATTGGTGTTGGAGAGGAAGAAGATGTGGAATGTGAGAATTGGGTCAGTATCTTTGATTCCTTAGTTGCTGCAAATCTTGCTCAGGAGTCTCAAGACAGTTCCTCCTTTGGTCTATTGTATTAGAAGAATTTCATGTTTGATAAGTTTAGCTAGTTTTTTTTTTTCTAAATGTTATTTTTTTTTTTTTTGGAAATATTACAATCGGTTCATTGCTTCGCAACTAATCCGATTCGGGGCGGGTCTAGGATTAAGGCTTTAAACCCCTCCCAAAGGTGGTACTGGAGAGATTCGAACACATGCTCTCACCCCCACCTGCTTAGCTCTCATGCGCCAACTGAGCTACCACCATTTGGTTTCTAAATGTTATTATTATATAAGTGTTATGGTGCTCTTTAGTTTAGATCAAAATAGTAATGTAAATATAGTTATTTGAGTCATGTCCATGTGACAATATGCAATTTGTAGACTTTAATCTAGGGTGATGTTTTTGAGTTCCCTTTATCTTTTTATAGGACTCAGCAGCAATGTGTTAGTTATTGGATCAAAACTTTGGCAATAGTTGTAGTTGTGGTTAAAGTCTACATGATGTAATTGTAGTTTTATATCATATCCTTTTTGTTGAAGCACTTACGAGAAAGAGAAAAAATATAGTGACCATCGCTCACTTACGCTATGGGGGCGGTGTACCTAGCTATCACTTTCTTTACTGTGAATTTGGGACAACAAGGTGCTTCGAATTTCTTTTCAAGTTCAACCAATAAAGGCTTTTCAGTACATAAAAACATACAATTCTTGGATCTTTAGGAGCGTATAAAGCAGCACAAAGGGGCAAACAATTGGCTTCTTAGAAGGTTTGAGCTATGAATATTGGGATGGTTCAAGTGCAACTTTGAAGATAAATCGATGTTATAGGGACTAAAGAGTCAAAAAGCATGAAAGGTGGGGGCATAACACAAAATAATCTTAAGTACTTAGAAGGTTTGAGGTTTGAATAGTGCACTTTCGGTGAAAAAGTCAAGGCAAGAGTTGAAATCAAGTCCTCGTGATATATGCTTCGCGTTATTTGAGGTCAAAGACATAGGACATTGACAACAAATGGTATACACGGATTATAATTAACGAACAAAAAAAAAAACTTCATTAAAGTGATTAAATAAAAGTATATTCACCTTTAATTTAATTTTAAATGTATAGAAATTTTATTAATAGAAAAATATATTAACTCACTAAATAATGTAAAAAAAAAATATTCCAACTTTAAAATAATATCATGGATAATTAACAAAGATGGCAAACATTGAGAAGATAGTCATTCAATTGAAGCTATCTCATTTATGATTTCAATATCATTTTTATGATCTGAAGTACCGAAAGTCTGAACTCCAAAGTAAGTTTTTGTTATCATATGAAACATATTTGTTTCAATTTATTTATTTTATATTTAAAATTTATTATCATGAAAAATTTATTAAGTAAGTTTTTGAAAAAAATCATAAAATTTAAATTAACCAGAAACGCATAAATCAAGGTTCACTTACGTTTATAGATTGCCATTGCGACCTTAGAGCATATTTTAAAAAATAATTCCAAAAGTTCAGAAAATTCTAAGGAAAATTTTCAATATAGAAATTACGAATTCAAATCTTATAACCTTGATGGATAGACTCGGATTTACTGAAGGAAAAAACTACCATGAAATTTGTCATCAAATTACTTTTGAATTATTTGTATTATTAAAATGAACATAACACTATATTCAACGAATGCATGTGTTGGGGTGTCTTCCTTTCTTTAATGTTTTGGTAGCTAGGCATGCAAGGCATTATTTGTATATGGCTTAATATTGAACAATCACTCCAATAAATGTAATCATTCTTCATTAATGTCAAGATTCTGGAAGAACAAACTGCAAAAAATTTCCCATCTGTAAAACTGGATGAAGAAAGTTCATTGTGAAAGATTAGCTAGTGTCTTAGAATACCTCTATAACTAACTAGTATAGAGAATATCATATTATTTCTCAAATTATACTTTAACTATAATAAGTTAATAACAATAAAATAGAGAAATATAAATTTTTAAAACTTCAATTGATAAAGCAAACGTTCTTCATTCTTTGTACATGAATTTGAGTTTGTACATAGCTTTTTACATTTTACATATTTTATATTGAAATTTACATCCTAAACTATTTTACATCAGTTTAGTACATAGACAACATCTTAGCTGCTTGAAGTTATAAATTTGTACATTGCTTCATCCTCATCTAGTGTATTCTAGATGTTTCCACTCTATCTTGATAAAACACGACAACCACTTCTTGATTTCCTAGCTAGTACGATATAAAACTCCGAACAATCTTCATTGAAGTAGATGGATATCCCTCATCCTTCACTTGTGAAACACAAATTAGGCATGATGCTTCTGTGGAAATGTTAGTATAAAAATAAACACATATGAGAAAATCTAAGTAACATTGAGATTTTCTAACTATAACCAGTCCAGCTGCAATAACTGAAAATATCATTCTTTCAAATATATTCATAATGAGAAAATAATAACAAATAATAAACATATAACAAATTGTGTAATATTTAACTGAAGCTATTAAAGCCCAAATTTTGTAGGTCTCTGCACGTGAGAGATTTTGATTGGCGGAACTCAAGCCAAGTAAGGCGTCCTTACAATATTATCGTCTGAATCTCAAACCTTTGTGGGTCAGTTCACATTAGAATCATACAGTTAAAATTTACACATTCTATTAATATATTTATTTGGTACCAAAAGAATTATCAGTGTTATAACCAACTTCAATAAAAGATAAAACTAAAAGTAGAAATGAAACCAAATAGAAGAAAAAAAAATTCAAGAAAGGAGTTTGACAAAGTAACAGCATTATCACATCTTTTCTTAAAAATCATCTTTAAAAAAAATAGCTGAGAAGAAGAAGAAACACGATAGAATGTATTGCACTCTCAATATTACCTTCATCTTTTTCTTTCCTTCTCTTTTCCCTTCTCCTTTCTCTTTTCTCCTTCTCCTTTCTCCTTTCCTTTCTCTGGGGTTCCTTTCTTTGTTCTCTGTTTTCCTTTCTTTTTTGTCAAGTGAATATATATATAGTTAAAATCTAACAAAAATCTAACTAAATAATCATTACCTAGATAAAAAAAATTAAGTACCATTATCTCTTCAGTTACACGTGTTTAATTAAATTTTATATGGCGTCACTAGTCAATTTTGGCGCCCCAGCCAATTTTACATTGCATGGCGCTACTAGCACCTTTTTCCCCCTAACATTACGAAGCTATTAACGCCACTACCAGGCATACCTCGGCGCTTCAAGTGCTGATTTTTTTTTTTAATTTAATGGTGCATTTTGTGCCAGAGCCAATTTGTAGATGGCGCTTGTAGCGCCCCCTAAAATACATATTGGAGCTGCAAGCACCAATTATTTTTTTATATTTTTCTTTTCAATTAATAATTTTTCAAAAAAATTTGAATATCAAACCCTCTCTTGAGAAATTTGTATGTGCAACCTCTTCAGAGAAGAAATAATATATTCCATCTTCTAAATGGTGAAAAAATCGAATAATCATCTAGCGTTCACTAAGGGCCTGTTTGGTAGGAGTGATTTTTGTAGAATCTTGGAAAAGCTTGGTTGGGAATGTAATATATCTATGTTTGGTAGAGGAAATCCAAAAATTTATCCTTGATTCCAATTTCTCCAGTGTTTTGATTGTAGTGCAAATAATGGAGCCGAATACCATCAACAAATACCACAAATTATGTGGTATTTCCATAATCCAGTTTCTTGGAGAAATTTGACATATTTTTTGGGTTTTTTTTCCCTTGCTTGAAATTTTTCGTCGTCTCTACTCACTTTATTTCTTTACCTCTTTCGAGGCCTCAAATATGTTCCTTGTCCTCGTCTTCGTCTTCTTCCTGGGAAGAAGAATTTCAATAACACAAATTGATGAATGAATGTTCCATTTCATGTACTGTTCTAAATCTAATTGTGCTTATGTTTTGTCTTTCTCTCTTTCGCAACATGATTTCGGCTTTGGAATTCTTCTTTCCGTTTTTATTTTGTGTAGTTTTTGGATTTCAGTTACCAGATCTACGTTTTATTTTGGGGGTTTGTTAAATAGATCAGCGTTTGGATCCGAGTTAAAAAAAGGTTCGCATCCAGTGCTATATAAGAAACGGGTTTGGTGGGGGTGAGATGCTGAAACAGGAAAGGAGTGATTGGAGGCCATGAGGTGTCTTTTCTAAATACACACAAGAATGATTCTTGAGAGAAATTAAGAAATACAAAAGTTTAGATGGATTCCAGGGAGCTGGAATGCAAATTGCAGGTTTTTGGATTTTGATGGATAAGGTTATTATTGTAAAATTATCATATATTCCTAGCAATTTTTTACAATCAACCAAACATAGTCTAGGCAAATTGGTCCAACATTCTCGAAAATATTTTGGCTTACCAAACAGCTTTTTAGTAACATTTCCTTCAAATTCAATTTCACAGCATATTCTTGGGAGTCGTAATTCCTGAATAAAAAAAATTTCTCATCTACCAAACGTCCCCTGAAGAAGAACTTGTAATCCTTCTATTTGCATAGGGAAGATTTTTCATGTTCAAATCATTGTGTGCATTTTTTTTCTTTTCTATCAATCTTTGCAATTTTGTGTTTTCTGCATTTTGAGCCAACTTGCTGACAAGTCGCCTCCAAATGTCAAGTTGGTGTGCTCAACTTAGAAATCTATTGGCTTCCGCTCATGGAGGAACTTCATCCCAACCCAATGGGACATTCTAAACTTTTTTTTTTGGAGGTTTGACATTCTAAACTTTTGTATTATATAACATTATCATACATTTATATATAATTAAGACCCCACTTTTTCTTCTTTTTCTTTTTTCTTATAATGGTGGGACCCACTCATTTTCTCTCTACAACATAAGATAATTATCTTATATAAAAGGAGATTAATAAAACCCTATAATTAATCGATAATTATCTTATGTAAAAGGAGATTAATAAAACCCTATAATTAATCTTAATACTTCAATAATATATATAATTGATTTTGCAGTTCAAAATTTATTATAATCAATCTTTCATGATGCCACTCTCTTTTTTTCAATGTATAAGTGTATTGCTAATCTAAATCTTTTTTAAACTATTTACAAAATATTAAATTATGAGAAAATGTTTTTCGCACATCAGTCAAAATGACACCATATGAGTTTACATTTAGAATTATGCTAATTAATCACATACCTTTACATATACATTACTTCATCTTTATACAATTTACTATTTGATTACAATTGATCTTACCTCGTTTCTTATACACTTACATTCTGATTTTATCACATTTGTCTGATTGTAAGCGATATGTGCACTCACAAGATTTGTACCAAACATTATTCTTATATTATGTGAAGGTAGCAGGATTTTATTTGTGTAGCCTTGTAGTAAATATGCACATAAAATAAAAATTTGTTATCCAACTTAAATATAATGAAAAAATACATAAAACTAATTTTCAACTATGGGTTATGTGCAAACGAAACTTCTATATGCTTTGAAACTATTCAACATATTCCTTTAAACTCATCAAATAATTCATAGTATGGTATATTAATGACCACCTTGTACATGTACAGAAAATCTTGGGAGTGAACATGCACAGCTTGTTGAGTTTAAATAATCATATTAATAGGTTTCAAAGCACATAAGAATTTGCTGCATATAAGTCATAATTGAAGGAAATTTCGTGTATTTCACCCTAAATATAATCATATAAGTAAATGATGTGTGTGCATACCATGCATAACTGGATAGCACCTACTCCCCGCTTGTTATGTTTTTTAAGAGCGCATATAGTTTACAGCGTACAAAGCACAAACTCTTGAATAAAATCATAATAATAAACTCTTGAATTTTTATAATCCTTGAGGACTCCATCTAATTATAGACTCATCGTTAAGAAAGTATAAAAGAAAAAAAGTAACTTATGCTTTATTCAGTCAGTCTATTTGACAATCTTAAGTTTCCAAAAAATTTGAAACCAATTCTTTTATAGGTATGCTCTCTTTTTTTATTACAATGAGAATCGAATACTACACACACTACACTATACACACCCCATACCATTAGGCTAACTCCAGTGGTTTTTTTATGGGTATGCTCTAGGAACGTGCATGGGTCGAACCGAATCGAATTTTTTAAAAAATTGAACCGAATTGGTTTAAATGGTTTGGTTCGGAAGTGGTTCAGTTTGGTTCGAAACTGGTTCAGGTCGACCCTCTTTTGAAAAGAAAAAAAATTAAAAATTTAAAAAATAAAGTTATAAAAATCAATTTGGTTCGGTTTAAAAACGGTTCGGTTCGGTTCGGTTCGGTTCGGTTCGGTTCAGTTCTTAAATTGGTTCTAAAAACCAGTTCGGTTCATGAACTGGTTCTTTAAAAATCGGTTCGGTTCATGAACTGGTTTTAAAAATTGGTTATTTTAAGGGCGGTTCGGTTCATGATTCGGTTCAGTTTTTTGGTTATTTTGCACACCCCTAATATGCTCTAGCATGTAAAGCAAGCAACCTCCCATTTTTATATTACCTACTTTATAGTTTGCTTTATTTTAGAATGATTAATTTAAACTCAAAATTAGCTACCTTTTCTGCTTTTTACTAATCATTACTAAGGGGGTCTTACATATATTACTTGAACAAGTTGTGAAATTGAGAATTGATACAGCACATATATTATATTTTCCAAGTCTGGTGGAGCTTTGAATTTATGTTCCTCTCAAAGCTAAAGGCTAAAGCTTCTAAGGTAACAAACAAAGGTGGGGGAGGACGGCCAAATTCATCTTTGTCTGCCGGCGGTGTGTTAGCCACTAGGTTAACGGGGGGCTATATAATATACAAAAAAAATGCTAAAAATGTAAAATGTAAAGTGAAACCCAATTATTGTTACTTTTTTATTTTATTTTGGGTAGTTTGTTTTTTCTTTTTCTTTTTTTTGGGGGATGTTATGATCACCTCAAAGCGTTTAAAAGGGGGGGGTGGGGATGTTATGATCACCTCAAAGCGTTTAAAATAACAAAATCTTTATGAATTGCTAATTTTGATATCAATCTAGTTGGAGTTTTGAGGTTCAACTTCTTAATTGCACCGGCAAGGAATTAGCCTATATATCCCAATAACTAAAGTTGAACTCTAGTTAATTTGTACATGTATAGTGCCAGTTAATTTCTACAAATATACAGTATATACAGCACAGAATCAGTGTTGGTGTTTCAAATTCACAGATAGAATATTCCATTAACTACGCAAAAAGGTCCAATGAATTCAAAAAAAGGGAATTTTCTTCTTCCCTTTATGTTGAATTGTTGGACGCAGAAAACCACACGATCGATGCTCAATTATGGAAACCCCACCCCTCAACAAGAAGGAATAAATAAGTGCATGATATACGGATAATGGATGTCATTATAATGAGCTAAGAGCTAGGAATGCAACACCTATAAGGTTGGAAAAGGCTTTCTTAATCATGATGACTCGAGTTGATTAAGTAAAAAGATCATGTGGGGTACCAAAACTACTATACCATTGTCAAGCACAAGTGTTTAACTATGAAAAAAGCATGAAATTTATATAGTGAGAGTAAATACATATTTTTTTGTCCTTAGCAAATTTCACGATGTCCATTTTAGTCCTTAGCAAATAAAAAGGTTCATCGTGGTCCCTAAGAAATTTAAAATGGGCTCATTTAGTTGAAATCGTAGTCCCTCATAAATTCAAAAAAAAACCCATATTAGTCTCTAAAAAGACTAAAATGGATCCATTTTGAATTTCTTAGAAACCACGGTGGGCCTTTTTATTTGCTACGGACTAAAGCAGACATCGTGAAATTTGCTGAGGACCAAAAAAGGTATTTACTTATATAGTAATAATCAAAATATATATTAACAACACATGGCGAGCAATACCTGTTTGCAAGTGCACTAGGCCCGACCACTACTTAGGAAACTTCCCATCTTCTTTTTTTCTCATAGACAGAGAGAGAGGCAGAGAGCAGCCTCCCCTTTTCACCAGTTCAAATGAAGAGACCCACTATTGATAGCAACTCCGTTAATTATAGTAAAAGGTTACATGGGAACAGTGGCGGACCAACGTTGGGTCAGTGCGCGCATGTGATTTTGGATTTTAATTTATTTTTTTGCAGTTATGTAGGTTATTATTTGTCTCTTGGATCAATATTTATAGTAGGAGTAAATATCATTTTAAGTCTCTAACAAAAAATATGGTCTCCGTTTTAGTCCCTTATCAAAAATTAGTCTCGAAGAAGTCCCTAAAAAATTCAAAGTGGATCAATTTAATTAAAATCGTGATCCCTCACAAATTCAAAAAAGACATACATTAGTGTCAAAAAGACTAAAATAGGTTCACTTTAAATTTCATAGGGACCAGGTGACTCTTTTTTTTTATAATGGACTAAAGTGGGGACCGAATTTTTTGTTGGGGACCAAAAATGATATTTATTCTTATATTAGTTAGCAACATACAGAATGATTAAAACAACGTAGCAACACAAATTGATTAGAGAGAGAACTTATTCTTCCTCCCCTGTCACGTACCCATTCCCATGATTTTCCATTCTCATGATTTCTTCATCCTTGTTATGGAAGCAACTAAATTATGAGCGGGTTCAAGCGTTAATTTAAACTTTTTTTACAAAAAAAAAATTCGAGGGCGCTGCCCCGAACCCCTGCCACTAAATGTGCAGACATAGAGAAATTTTCCTAGGTCAGCCACTGCATCGAACCGTGTGGCAAAGGATGATCGTGAATATGAATACGAGGATCTAGTTGAAAATTGAGTTCATCCATCAATCAGCAGCCATAATATTACTCTCTTCTTGATATAGTCCAAGAACACATAGGAACTATTTGATATGGCTAAGCAATTGAACATTGTGAAAATGCCTTGAAATTCTGGCAGCATCTATATGAGGGTGATATAGTGGTTACGTTCGATACGACAATCAATTTTTATGTAATAATAAAAGTTAATGAGTGAGACTATAACATAAAGCCCGCGACACCTGCAAGGACTAAAGCATTAATGCTCCGTTTAATTCTGCAGCAGAGACACCCATTCAAATGTTTCGTTTGGTGGCATGTAACCTAATTTATCAGAAAAATTATATTACTTGTTTTTAACCAAATTTAAGTTTCCTCCGAAAAGGAGCTTAGAATAAAGTAAATATAACTTGCGTTGGATTGAAAATTTTATACTAAGCTTTTTACTAGTTTACCATTGAAATAAAAATTTCAAAACATACATCTCTTCCCTTCAAATTCGCTTTTAAGCAAAGTTAATTTTACAAAATCAATATTTTCCCAAATTAAATTTATAATTGCTTACCAAAACGCACTAAATTGCTAAAAGCAACCAACTAGAGGCTGAAATTATTAATGTCATCGTGAGAAGCACCCATGGTAGTTAAAATTTTCATTTATCATTACGCTTTTTTATTTTTATTATTTATTTTTTCATCAAAATGATTTTATCAAAATTTCAAACACTTTTATGTTTTTATGTTTTTTTTTACATTATAATTTTACGTTTTATGATTTTTAATCCTCCTAATTTTACATAAAATCTTTTTTAACTACCTTGGAAGCACCAAATTTCGCCAGAAAGTTTATTCTGATTTCCTTCACGTAAAGTGGGAATTAAAATGACTTCCAAGTCGCTTCTAAACAACTCACAATTCACTCAAAAATGAAATATATTTCATTTTACTCCTTGTGTTTAAAATTAGTACATTAAAATAATATAAATTATAAATATTGATGGTAAATACATTAAAAAAAATTACTACTACTCATTTCATTCTGCCAAAAATGACCACTTTCAAGTCGAAGGAATGCGTGACCATTTCCACCAACATCAACCATCGTATTCGTACGAGAAGACCAAAAGCAGCAGATTCAAACCGTTCAGCATCCACTCTATACAATATCTATATTCCACCTTTGGGGTTAAATTTTTACTTTTCCAAAACTACCATTATTAATTACTCAGGTTATTATTTAAAGAATGATATAAACAGGATAAAACTTTAAAAGAACCTTATTACTCGTTTAAAGATTTTTTTTTTTTGGTAATCACTCATTTAAACATAAACATAAAAGGAACGGAAGTGTAAACATTTGTTACTTACTGATTATAGTTGGTTTCAAACACATCTCAACTTCTCCAATATATAGTCATAATTCACATCAAACGCAATTTTATTAATTTTTTTATCTTAACAAAAAATACAAAATTTGAATTGACAAGCACGTAATGCCGGTCAATATGCTAGTATTGATAGATATTATAAAGAATTAGCTTACATCTTTCACCTAAAATAAAAAAGAACTAAATCACCTCTATGTCAAGTAATTAGTTCTGCTCTTAGTTTTTTTACCTTTCTTCTTAAAGGGCTTTGGATTAAACAATCGCTTGAAGGGCAATAGAAGTGGTCCACGAGGTGTTCTTCGCTTCACTCTCAATCGACCTAGAGATAATGGAAATGTACTCAGTCATATTTACGTCACAATTAAAATGGAAACATGCAAGAAGTAGATAATATGTAGGGGAAGTTACGAGTAATAACACAATTACAAAATGAAGTGCAATCAACCATATTGATCGATTCACTTATGATAGAAGGGATTAATTCTAGACAAACTGCATGAGCTTCTGGGAGGGAAAGGGCCAAAAATAACATATAGCTTTCAATAACCAAATAAAGATATTAGTCAGTGGATGGGGTACCTGATACAGACTGAACTGAAGCAAATTGATAATAATCAGATCTCACTTCACCAAAGTTTTTATCTTCCATCATAACGTCTGGCAATAAATGCATTGCAGCCGTGGAATCATCTTCTGTTTTCATCTCATCATATGCTTGCTGTGGCATCTCATCAAGTTCAACTGTATCAGTTTTCTGTTTGTCGAATTGTTCATCCTCCATTGAAGTTTCAGAAATAGATGTGTTTATCTCCAAGACTGTATGATTTGAAATTTTTAAATCATCCATTGGCAAAGCTTCATGCTCTTTGGCGAAGCTTCCTTTGCCAAGTTCAACTGTATCAGCTTCCCGTTTGTCAAATTGTTCATCCTCCATTGAAGTTTCCAAAATAGGTGTGTTTTTCTCCAAGACTGCAGGCTCTGCAATTTTTAAATTTTCCTTTGGCAAAGCTTCAAGCGTCTTGCCAATTTGTGCATTTAAATTGACATCAGATCTTTTCTCATTATTATGTTTATCATGTACAAGGGCAGGAAAAGTAATCTCCACAGATGGCGTGAAGATTTCTACTTTATGATCAATATTATGCCTACCATCTAGTTTGGCATCTTCTGAAGATCTTTGTAGTTTCTCAGACTCATGGGGTTTTACAGTATCCAATGCATTACCTGAGATGCACAAGTTTGATTGTGAATCAAGTGATTTCACTTCAATAGGGGCGCAATCAATATCTGAACAAGTAAAAAAATTTAGTTCTAACTTTGTGGCCATTGTCGGAGTGTCTATCTCCTTATAATTGTAAGCTTCAGTAGTTCCACTATGTATATTGTTCTCAAAAAAATTGTCACAGCTCACAGTGCGATGTGTTGCTATAGCACCAGATAATGAACTTTTATCTTTCTCAGGACAAATATCAAGCCTGTTGCACTGCTTGGTTAAGTTCTTAGCTACAGGTGTTGACTGATTTACTTTTTCCACAACAGGCAGGAAGTTTACCTTATTATCTGGGAAAACAGGGAAAGCATTATTTGCAGATAAGGAATCCTTGACTTGAAAACCATGAGACGGAAGGCTGTCAATCACTGAAACAAAGTCAATGGCTTTTGCAGTTTTTGATGCTTTACCGGACGCTGAAAAGGTTTTTGTCATGTCATCCAACAGGATATCACCTTCACCACTGGAGATAGCATCCCACTTTAGTAGCTCTTGATGCCAGGCTTCCTTAGAATGAGATGCATCTGATGATAAAACTTCTACTCTTATTGCCTCTTTGTAAAATCGCTTTTTCCTTAAAGAATTGGCTAAAAGAATCCTGTAAACCATTCGGAATGATATTCAAGACATCTCAAACATTGGCCCCGAAAAACCAAACACAATAAAGGATTTTAGCAAGTTCCATACCTACAGTTTTTAGAAATAGCTGCTTTAGCTCGCTCCTTGGAGAGCCCCAATAATGACAACAAGTTTGCAACATCACAAGGCCCTCTAAGTTCATTCACTGAAGGAGCACCACTTGAAAATACAATGTTTTGTCCCCGTGTCCAATCCATCAACAACTACATGTTTAACCAATATGTAAGTTTGTGCATGTCTGAATAGTGTGCTGTAATTGTCAAAATCATGTATCTTGCCTATAATCAAAGGAGGGTCTAACGATAGAAATGAGGATCATAAGATCCATCTCTATTAGGAAAGTAGAACCCAGAAACAGAGTAATGAGAATAGTTTCAGAAAAGGTAAAGTGAACCAAAACAAATTCTTTGTGGAAAGATCTTATGATTTCAGGTTTTTTATATTGTTTAAACAGTATCGACAGGAACTAATCAGTTCCTTTCCATCCACAATGAATCTCTTTACCTCCCATTAGCTCTTGACACATTCATACTTGCTTTTAGCTTTGATGAAATTATAGGATTTTAGGTATAGAGGGAGGAAAAGGAGAGAATGAAGATCTAATACTCTGAAGTTGATATTGATGTGGGGATGTGTTATGAATCTTATGATGTGATACAAAAGACAAGGCACTAATCTCTATTTATACTAATAGAAAACTCTGAATCTTAATTAATTAAGGAAACAAATTGTGAGATAAATGGAATCCAATCCTAAGAAATAATTAAGATGCTCTAAATTACTCTTAATATATAATTTAAATACCATGAGATATTTTTCATGTATTCTAACAAACTTAACACCATCAACTATAGTTATTAATTTAAGCATATGCAGATTCAATAACATACAGAACCTAGCACAGGTTTGTCTAGATCTAGATATGCTTTACAGGTTCATACTTAATCTTACACAATTGCTAATCAGCCTATGCTGAGTCTCTGCTTATAAATACAGAAGGTGCATCCTACACATATCCCCTTCACCAATAGGCACCCTATAAAGTAAACAAATTCAATTCAAAATACAAAATCTTTCTTGACTGGCAATAAAAAATGCAGAGGCATATTATTCCACAAAACTTTTACAACCAATAACACTCCAAAACGCAGAAGTTATGGTCACCAACTCACCTTAATCATAATGATAACCATATAAATAGAGGCACATTGCACTAAAAATAAAGACGCATCGTACAAGTGGTGTTGGAGGTTAAGATATTTAATTCTTCTACAATTCTGCTATGTGAGCTTAACATATGATATACCCCTATTGGAAATGGGCTCATTCTATATGTGCATTGTAATAAAACTTCTTGTCTTATTTGCATATGAAGGGCCACTTGGTGAGTAAGTCTACCAAGACACGAGATGGCAAACCTCTCATTCACATCCTCTAGTTTAACTAACAATATCATGCTTGAGAGTGTGAGAGTAAGTCTAGTAAACTGGTACCACAAAATTCAGTAAAAGCAATCCGTACATAACTTGGCAACAATACAAAAAAAAAAAGTGCAATCATGGAAAGTAAGGTAAACAACAAAGTAACAAAAAAAAAATCTTTCACTGTAGGGAAGTAGCTATTACCTTAGCACTGGAAATTAACTGTCTCCTGATTTGAATATCAGCAACAAGACCCGAGTATGTGACTTCAAAACAAACCCCGCGCTGTATGTCAATAATCCACATGTTAATATTTAGTTCCTTTTTTATTTAATTTTTAGAACATTTAAAAGTCAAGACTGAAGAGCAAACCTTAATAGCTGCTTTAACCATGGGCTGCTTCAATCTAAATGACAACTTCGTTGAAAAATCAATCGAAATAATATCTACCTGCAATTATTCTCACCATGAGCATTTAAAACATATATAAAATTGAACTTTAATCAATGAACATCATATAAGAAACTTAACGAACCTCCATTCTCTCACATGCCAGATCAAATGCAATCTGACTCAAAGGCTTCACAGCCACCAAATCGTAGGTCTTCAAAATCGGGTTACCAGAATTGAGTGCTTGAGCCTGCGAGGGGTTATCAACGCAAACAGTGAGGCGCGTGTACTGACGGAACGGAGTGGATAACGGGATTCCGAGGAGGTTACGGTGGAGGTTTGCGGACAATGAAAGAAAGGGAACGACCTTGAGGAGAGAGGAGAGGGTAAGGGGAGAGATGGAGCAACGGTTGTGATCCGACATAACGCCCTTCATCGTGCGGTTATAAGCGATTCCGGTGTAACCTAACTCCATAGCCTTAACGGCTAGCTTCGTACGATTGCTTTCGATGGTGACCTTGTTGGCGGGTGAGGATTCTGGGTACTGTATGTTAAGGTCGAAGAAGCCCATCGCTGGCGGCGAAAGAATGAAGCTCGCCGCTTGGCACGGATTTAGGAATTAAGGGTTTTGGCGGTTGTCTTGATCAGCAGGTGTACCGTATACACAAAAGTTCATCACGAAAATGTTCATAAGCATAGTAAAATGCAGTAGCAGAACCAATCAACATAGTGTTCCTAAGATCTGAGAACTTGACAGATAACTTATTAGCTTCGATTAAAGTGGCGCTAAACTTACTCGAAAGAAACCGCCCGAAATCTTCTGATCATTAGGGTTTCTGAACGCAGAGAAACAAAAAAAAAAAAAAAAGTGTTGCTGAGATTGTGAATGAGAATCTAAACGCCAATAAATTGAATTAAATTAAACTTCTGGCAAAAAAAAAATATTAAACTTCTAGAAAATCTTTAATTATTTTTTTATATTTTGAAAGTTTAGAGTTATGAGATTATTATTTAAAACTTTTAACAATAAGCTAAATTTAATAACTCGTCATAATTGTACAAATTATAAATTGTCAAAAAAAATATTATTTGAATCTTTATTATTATTATTTTCTTGATGAAGTTATATTATTTGAGTTAGTAATAAATTCCTAAGAATATTTTATTAACAAGGACATAATTAGGAATTTACGAAATTATAAGAAATAAATTATAAAATTTTAAATCATAAGGAGCTAACGACCTACAAATGAATTTAAATTTTTTTTTAAAATACAAAATACTTTTTTCTACATAACAATAAGCTAAATTCAATAACTCGTCATAATTTTTTAAACTATAAATCGTCAAAAAAAAATATAACTGAATCTTTATGACTCATTTTTTTCAAAATGAAGTTCTATTGTTGGAATTAGTAATAAATTCCTAAAATTATTTTATTAGCAAGGACATAATTACAAGTTATGAAAATATAAGAAAATTATAAATTTTTAAATTATAAGGAGCTAACTACCCTAACTGATTGTTTTGTGAGATTAAGATTGTTTCTCTCAAAAGAATGTAGGGGGGTTTGGTACGAGGGTTTTTTTCAGGATTTTCAGGAAACTGAATTTTTTTAAATTTTAAATTTTTGGATATTATCGTAAACTTAATGTAAAAATCATAATTTTAAAAATTGAGATTTTCAGACAAAAAAAAAATTCTCCTCTACGAAAGAACCCCGTAGTGCCTCAACGTAACACTGATTAAAGAGACGCTATTACATACCAAAGTTTAGCGGAAAGTCATAATGAGTATAGTCTCAAGCAAGCAAAGGTTAAGAGTACAAAAGGATAATGTCTATCGGCAAGATAGCTCTATATTAAGTAACAATTATCTATGAGCATGTTTGATGCATACTATAGGATAAGGTCTGATACTATAAGATCTGATTAAATTTTAATATTATCCAACGTTTGGTATGGTATTGTATAAGATAATATCCTCCAATATTTTAAAAATTAATAATTAAAAAAATTATTTTAATATATTAATATTGAAATGATATGTTAGTTCTTGATAATTGTATTTGTAAGCAATATTAATACATTAACCCATTATCAGGCCTAATCTCACCCTCTTAGGCCTGATAGTATAGGATAAAATCTGATAGTATAAGACCTGATAGTATAATGCCTGATAGTATAAGGTCTGATTGTATAAGATCTGATTGAATTTTAATATTATCCAGCGTTTGACATGGTATTGTATAAAATAATATATTGTATAAGATAATATCATATAGTATTTGATAATGCACTGTATAATACTATATATGATAAAAATAAATATTTTTAACAAAAATATCATTTAATAAAGAATTTATATAATTCTTCAAAAAATGTCATATGATATTAATTTTTATAAAAATTTATTGATCAGTGTGTCCAAAATATAAATTAATTTTTATAAAAAAAAATATATTCAATATTTTAAAAATTAATATATTAAAAATTTAATTTTTATTTTAATAGATTAATATTAAAATAATATATTAACTTTTGAGAATTACATTGGTCAACGATGTTAATACATCAATCTCTTATCAGGCCTTATCCCTCACCCTTAGGCCGGATTAAGTTATACATCGTTTTGATGTATTAAGAGATTATGTTGTATAAGCTTATACTATACGATGGTCACACCAAACAACTGAAAATGTCATAACGTATAGTATAAGCTTATACTATCATGCCTTATACGTCATACCAAACAGGCCCTAAGTTATACATTATTTTGATGTATTAAAGAGTTCTGCTGTATAAGCTTATACTATACAATAGTCACACCAAACAACTAAAAATATCATAACGTATAGTATAAGTTTATACTATCAAGCATTATACATCAGACCAAACAGACCCTTAATAGCGTATTAAGGTATCTCTTTAATAGTTGAAGATGAGTATTTATAGGTGTAAAAGGTTCTCCAATAATGAGTTAGAGAATAAGTGATTATTGTTTTGTTTTAGTGGGCCTCATTGTGTTAGAGGCAAGTACACTAACTTATACGTGAGCTGTGAGTTATGCTGGTGCAAGAAAGTAAAATCAGGATTATAATAAATATCTAAAAATCTTATTTTAGGAATGCATAAAGTCAATAATGAGTGTAGTCTCTATTTTAATGATAAGCACATTAAACTAAGTCAATATGGTCAAATTAGAGCATGCATTTAACTTTATATATATATATATATATATATATATATATATATATATATATATATATATATATATATATATATGGGGTAGGATACTTTGATATCGGTGTCAAATTTAAAGTTTGACACCTCATCTGAAAGTCGTTAGATTAAAAAAGATGAGGTGTCACATGCTTACAAATCAGAGTCGTTGATCTTTTTTTATCTAATGGCTCTCAGATGAGATGTCAAACTTTAAATTTGACAACAAATCCTAACCGTTGATTTTTGCCAATCAACGGTTATCATTTATTGGGAATTAATATTAATTAATAAGTTTGATTCTCAATAAATAATAATCGTTGATTGGCGGAAATCAACGGTTAGGATTTGGTGTCAAATTTTAAAATTTGTCACCGGTGTCAAAGGATCCTACCTCATATATCGTATGAACCTCGGCAAGCAATTAAGTCTCAGGCACTGGCCGACTTCGTGTTGGAACTTACTTCCTTCGAAGGAAAAGGAAAAGAAAAAGAGAATGAGGACCTCCGGACAATATACGTCGACGGGTCCTCAAACCCTAAGGGAAGCGGAGCCAGAGTGATAATAGAAAGTTCGGATGGAGTGTCTATTGAACACTCACTCCACCTTGCATTTTCGACTTCAAATAACCAAGCCGAATACGACGCTTTCATCGCAAGAATTGTACAGGCAAAGGAGCACGAAACAAGAAGGATAAAAATCCTCAATGACTCGCAGTTGGTAACCTCACAAGTTGAAGGGAAGTATCAAGCCAGGGGCCCCTCATGATGAAATATCTCCAGCAAGTTAAGAAACTATTGGCCGAATTCGAAGAGGTGGTGATCCAGTACATACCCCGAAACGAGAATAGCAGGGCGGACATCCTGTCAAAGCTCGTCTGCTCGGAAATCATCGAACGGTGATACAGCAGAGCATCCCAGAGCCTACTTGTGTGATGGTCACAACTGAGAATGAGGACTGGAGAAGGCAAATAGTAGCCTACCTAGAGAAAGGAATTATTCCCGACGAGGTCCAAGAAGCCAGAAAATTAGTGAGGAACTCGGGTTATTAGACCATTGTAGAAGGGCAGCTATAGAAAAAGGGTTTCTATACACCTATGCTTAAATGCCTGAATCAAAATGAGGCTGAATACGCCTTGACCGAGATCCATGAAGGCATTAATGAGCATCACATGGGAGGAAAATCTCTAGCCAGAAAAGCACTCAGGGCAGGATATTACTGGCCTACTATGGAAGCGGATGCGAAGAAGCATGTCAAAAGATGCAAACAATGTCAAAAGCATGCACTCATCATCCATGCACCTCCTGAGGAGCTGAAAACCATCACGGCACCTTGGCCATTCTATAAGTGGGGGATGGACCTGTTAGGGCCCTTTACTGCGGCTAAAGGACAGCTCAAATGGTTGATAGTAGCAGTAGACTACTTCACCAAATGGATTAAGGTTGGACCACTCACCACCATAACCTCGGCCAGGATTCAGAGATTCTTTGAAAGAAACCTGATAAGCCGATTTGGAATTCCAGCCGAGATCATCACTGACAATAGAACACAGTTCGCTGATAAGAAGTTCCAAGAGTTAATGGATGACTTCAAAATTAAACATCGGTTCGCATCAGTGGAGCACCCTCAGACAAACGGACAAGCTGAGTCAGCTAATAAGGTGATCATCAAATGCCTTAAGAAAAGGTTATTTGATGCTAAAGAAAATTGGGTACAACAATTACATCTCGTCCTATGGGGATACAGAACGAGTTCCCAATTCGCTACAGAGGAAACTCCCTTCAAGCTGACATATGGATGTGAGACTACGATCCCAGTAGAGATCATAGAGCCATCCTGGAGGAGGGTGCAAAGACTGTAAGGAACTGAAGACCAGAACAACGAGGCATTGGCTGTAGAGCTCGACCTAATGGATGAAAGTAGGGAGAATGCCAGATATAAAAATATGATGGCAAAACGCCTAGTGATGACTAGGTTCAATAAGAAGGTTAGACCTCGGTCATTCCAGAACGACGATTTGTTCCTAAGGAGAGCGGACATCGGCAACAAAAATGTCAAAGATGGGAAGCTCGCCGCAAATTGGGAAGGCCCCTACAGAGTTAAAGAAAACCTGGGAAGAGGAGCCTATACATTGGAAACCATTTCTAAGAAGCCTGTCAAAAGAACTTGAAACGCGGACAAGCTCAAGGCTTACTACAGCTAGGCCCGAAGTCTGACTTCCAAGAAATTGTGAATAGATTTTAATTCTATGCAAATAAGACGAGCTTATAAGCTTAGTCACTAGATATACTTTATTTTTACGTAAATAAGACGATCTTCTAAGCTCAGTCAGTAGGTAGATTTATTTATAAGCAAATAAGACGAGCTTCCAAGATCAGTCATGTAAACAGATCTCAGTTAAATGCAAATAATACGAGATTTGACCTCAAACCTTTATGCATATCGATTTCTATCCAAATAATACAAGCCTTCGAGCTTAACGATCTAAAAAGGAATACTTTTGTTGATGAACAAAACTTATCCTAGATTGATCGAAACGATTTTGTAACTCGGCACATTATAAGTCAAAGTACGATAAAACGAGATCTGAATTGGACCCCAAGATACGAT